GCTGACAGTGGTGCCAGGAGAAGCGTGTGGTATACTAATTTATGCCCCCAATTTTTTTAAAGCCACCCGTTCAGTAATGTATAAAACACTGGATATTAGAGGGGATTTAGAAGTGGCTATACCAAATGTAAGCCTTTTTTGACGTTACCCATTGGATTGTGGAGTACCGTTTTATGGCGTTATGATGGTCCCCATGACAGTGTGTTGGAGCCAGCAGAGGTGACGTACTGTGAGTTGAGCTGCTCTCATTGGCTGCACAGTTTTCTGTAGCAGGAAACAATGGCAGCTCATCTGGTCACACACAATCTCATATTCCAGATAAACAGTACACTAAAATATGTTTCTGTAACGGTTTTAGGAGATAAATAAACAACACAGTAACAAAATCTGGATAAATTTTTGATCAGTACTGCCTAGTTTGAGAGTTTGATCTGAGTTTGTGTTGGGCTGTCAATCACAAGGTAGTCATGCCCTAAATCATACCCTGCTTTATGTTCTATTTTCCTCTAAATGGGACCATCATTTACTAAGATGGAACATCATGCGTGCTGATTGCGAAGAAGAACTGAAAAACTACGAGACTGAGACCATAAACCCATTAGGAAACTGTTTACTGAGCTCATAAATCAAGTCAGAAGTCGGCTCATTTCTACAGTGCATTGAATAGGTTTTTTTTTGTATTGCAGCCAATGGAGCATCCCCTTGCTGGCTTTTACATAGAATGCAGGTTTAAGATACTCCTGTGTTAGCTTCACTTTACAGACCAGAAGCTCTGCCTATTATATATACTGTCAATGGAGTATATCCAATGTCAATTGAAAGGTAAGTAGGTATACCTGTGTATACCCTGCACTACACCACTGGGTGTGTACTATCTGAGTTGAGATTTCTTGAACTTTTTTTCTACATGACTACAATGGATGAGATACTGATCCTTGCTGTTTGTGGGATTCCTGAAGTAGACAACTGTTCTTTAAACACTTCATTAAACACACATTAGCCGAACACCTCAGGATACTAACAGGAGGGCATTCACATGGCTGAGCATAGACACAGACTGGATGCATCAGGTAACTTTTAATGTAAGCTAGGCTATTAAGTTATGAATATGCTAATTTAGCTAATTTACGCTTTCAACAAAAACAGTCTGTGGTTTTCCTTAAAAAAGGATTGCCACCAAGTGTCAGTAGTACACAGAAGCCGTTTCCATGGGTACCACGCGTAGAGTGCCTGGCACCAATGCTATTCACATGATGAGCGCAGTGACACCAAGCAGATCCGAGTGGGAACACAGGTGGACAGTCGCTCCCCGTCTGAAAAGAAATTAACTTGCACAGAGGATGAGAGACATATACAACTCTCTCTGCTACGAGGGGATGGAGATGAGGATAGCAGGTTAACTCATCAGATACTGGCATTAGCAAGATCTCTGGAGTGACCTGATGTCACAGGACACCTGAAACAACACATAAAAACGTCCCCCTAACATTCTGTGAATCACACATGAATCACAAAATGGACGTAAACCCACCAAATTCTTTGTTCCTCTCCCGCTACTGCGGAAAAACAAAGAGTTATTTTGTGCTAAAAAGACAGTAACCTATGAAAGATATTTACTTAATTTGTCTAACTCAGACTATTAAAGGCTCATATAAGCTATTCATGGTTTGAGCCTCTGTTCCTATGATAAGAGTAGTCATTGCAAACGATAGCAATTTTCATCACTGGGCATCCCAATTTTTTCAAAGTCGCAGTGAAATCAGCATTTTACGCTACAACAATCCAAAAGAGAAGCCCGCAAACTGTTCATTATGTAAAATAAATTTGACTTTGAGGGTTCACAAACAGGACAATGTAGAAAAAAACGTCATTTAAAAAGGTGGCAGCCAACAGCTTTGGGACTTAAAAGAAGCTCCAATTGAAAGCCATGCAGCCCTTCCACCAGCCTGCAACAACAGAGCAATAAAACACTCCACAGTCAGTCCTGTGTGTTATTAGCGTAGTGTGGATACAATTGCATTTGTGTCATTGGAATTTCTCCAGTCAGCTCAGCCGGTGCCAACAGAAAGAAAAACTGTAAAGGCGCAAGATGCAAACTCCCATCCCCTGGTCAATAATATTAAAGTTGACACATAAGAGGATTTCATGTTTCCTCATTTTGTAGCTACGGCAAGGGAAATGAATCACACGCACAGAAACACAGAGAACATCATAACACGCAGACATCAAATCATTGCCAGGATTACGACCCAATTTCCCCTTTAACAACTTGACACATTAGTGAAAACTGACTGTGATAGCGAACACAGTGCTCAATAAAAGAGCCGAGGAGTAACTGACAGATTGGAACGCTCCTCTCTGGAGGGCTTGTAGCTGTCAGGGAGAGGAGGAGCGACGGTGGGGAGCGGCGCAGTGTGCATCCTCACATGTTTATGCCGGTCTGTTCGTGTCGACATACATGTTCATGTTCATGCCTGGGCCTGAGTGCAGTACCCTTCCCCTGTTAATGGAGTGTGATTGTAGTGCTACACGCAGAAGTGGAAGTAAATAAATATGTTTATCCTACAGAGTTTTACTATTTTTGGCTCAATAGTTTTCACCTTCTGTGAAGAAATAGATCTAATGGAGAGTTGAAGTCAAACTGGAGCTTTCAGGTTATGTTCAGAAGTAGTAAAACCTCCTACCTGATGGTGGTCATTTGTCTATGGGCGGTAAAGCCTAAGCTTGATATTGTTGCTTTTTTAATATTTCTGTTTTCAGCAGCCTTTAATGAACACAATTTCCCACAATCATTTTTGTGTTTGGTTAACTCTCACATTTTTTCAATAATGTACCCATATCCATCCAAGTATCCCGTGATCAGTGCAAAACATTTTTGGTACAGAAAAAAGGCAATTTATTTCCTCCCCTTAATATCACATATCTATCAGGAACAATATACTGCTATAAGTCATCAGTGTCATATGGACTCTATGCTTCTAGAATTGTCTAGCATTTTGTCTTATGTTTTGATATTTTTGGGGTTTCTTTTCGTTTCTTTTTTTTTCTACTGAAATGTTGTATGAAGAAAATGGATGAATAAAGTGCTCTAGAAAAAGCCTATATAAAGAGGTACATTACAGCTCAGCAACATCAGTGTCTGATTTATTAAGAAAAAACACTTTCAAATGTTTGGTATCAATCACTAAATTTATGGCATTAGTATAACAACAGTTATACAAGACGGCACTGAAGTCACATTGAAGATTTTGACATGTGAGAAACTTCACTGAGGATCTCTGTCATTCTCTGTGGCCTGGATGCAACCACAGTGAGTCTGTTTGCTTTTGATGGCATGGGATGGCAAGCTCGCTCCCCCACCATTTATCCGTAACTGTCGCGCGGCGATGAACGGCACAGTGGAAATCAAAAGTGGATGTATGTGCTAACGCTAATAGTCGCTAAGACATGGCTGAAGCTTAACTCCAACTCGTTCAAGTTGGATGGTTCATATTCTAAGTACTTTAAGCAAATGTATACACAGAATATGACAGGTCATTAGTTACAGCTGGATATCATTTGAAAATTCTTGTATGAGCTTATGCAAAAGATACGGAAGCGAGAGACGGCCAATGGATTTGTTTTATTTTTATGGCAACTTTGTTATCTCTGTAACAATTTTTAATTCGTATATCTCGGAACATAAAATTGTTTTTGTGTGATTTAACGAATAAATTAAAATAATGTTGTCGTCTTTTGACTTTTCAACTTAATGCGCTCTAACGAACGGCTCCTCAACTTTTACCGGTCGCTTAACTACGGCCAAGCATGTTACAGAAAAGCGTTTCGTGGCAAGCGTATTAGATTTGAAGTTCAAAAGCTGGAACTTAACAAACTATTACATTGAAAATGGCTTAACGAGTTGTCATCATTTCTGTTCGTTCTCATTACACTGTCGAGCTGCAAGTTTGTGGAAGCAAGTACGCTACTCAATCAAAACTTCTGGTCTCTTGCCCCAATTATGTTTTTCACCGCGCATAAAACCCCCAACTCCCTCCCTCTCCCAACCATTCTTGTTGGTTGATTGGCTTGCAACTGGTTTGGTTGTTATTTTGGTTGCACAGTAATTCAGGCAGAGCTACGCGGAATTCAAGGAGAGAGGGCTACGATTTGGGTTTGAGAAAAAAATTAAATCGCACTGAAACCATGCAAGATCGCATAGTGCACCTTAAATAAGTTATTTCTGTAATATAAAAAAAAATCTAACTATATAATATTTGCTGGCAAAAAATCATTACTCTAAGGATTTTTGTGTAAATAAAAAAAAAAATTAAAGTTATAATTCAGTCTGTTGAGTTACCTCAAGTCTCAACAACAAGATTCCTTGGGGGGGCAATCTTTGTTTTGATGAGGAGTTTGAATTGGAAAGCACAAATACACTGCGGTTATTTCAAAAAAATAATAAATCTATCAGTATAATTATGGGATTACTAATCTTATTACCACAAACTGTCTTCTTACGACTTTTATTACAGTTAATTTATCCATATCTTTCATATTGTAATATACGTAGTTTTGGGGCAAGCACCTTCCTTACTCACTCCACAGGAATTTTGGTTCTTCAGAAACGTTTTGTTCGGGATGGCAACCC